CAAATATTTTTTAACTTGAAAATGGTGCCAGGATGACACCGAAACGTCGTTGCTCAGTTTTTTCGCTGATCTTTATTGTTAACAACATTTACAAAGCTGATAAAATATACAACTTCTGAATTTAACGAAATCGTAAGGAGTCTTTTAGCGACAGTGCCCTTATAAATACACTCAGCCTGGGACGGAAAAATATAGTAAGAAAAAGAGTGTATGGTTTTTGTTAGGGTTCCTTGAGACAAGACATGAAATCTGTAACTGCTCCTCTATGATAAGAGAGAGTTGTTGGGAAAACATTAGGATAATTTTCAGGCGAAATAATGTTGTTAGCAGAAGCAAAGAGAAGTAGTGTTCAGATTTATAGTGACATTTGTGATATCAAATTATTACTGAAACTGGAATTTGTAATTGTAGCAGTTTAGAAGATTTTGAGGAGTACAATGAGAACCAATGGTTTTTCCAGCAATTGTGGAATCCAATCACATCATTATTATTAATATCATTATCATCATTATTATTATTTTGATGACGAAATATTCAACAAATAATCATGCACGAGTTAGAGAGGTTTAATGATTCATGGACGAAGTCATGGCGTTTACTCATGTGGTGAGACTCAGTAATTCTGGTTTTTTTTGTGATGATGATGATGGTTTTTTCTACCAAAAGCCCTTCCACACTGAGAACTAAATGATCCTCATTTCTTTTTCAAACTGAACCCGAGATTATTTCCAAATAAGTAATTTTGAGAAGTGAATGATGTTAGATTCAAAAGGAACACGGACTGACTTAAATAAATAAAAGGAACTCAAGAACTTTTCATTTTCAGATACTCAGATACTTCGTCTTGTAACATATATGTACTTCTAAATGTTACCATCTCAACTGTTTTATGAACCTCCATTTTCCAACCGTGTATAAAAAGACGGAAACAAAGAGATAGCAAAGCAGAAAGCGCATTGGTATCAGTATCTCGCACGTTCAACAGTTTCCAGCTGATTACGAAAAATATAATTATAAGACGATCAAGAGCGGAGCTTGTGAACCGTTAGTAAAAAAAGATACCTGAGACTGATAAGAAGAAATTAATAATAGGAATAAAATCTTATTTATCGTAACTGGTGGGTTGTGTCATCAAAGATTTAGCTTGACAGGCAAAATAAAGGCTAATTCCCAATATTACTGTTACGATCACTGCGATCGAGCAGTTTCTGTATAATCGTGGCAACTAATATGAAGGAATGTACAAAAACCAAGACTAAGAAGTGTATAATCCTGCTGAATGCCAAGGAAATTTTGCCGATTGTGCGGATTATCCAGAATAGAAACCGTTTGTTCACACAACAAAAAAGTGAAAAGAAACTTGAGAGGCCGAATCGAATGCACTCATGTGCACGTATTTTGTTTAAAATTTATTTGAATGGTCAAAGCTCACCTGCAGAATTCAAGTCACTGTAAGGAATTCTTTCGTTAAATTTTCAAACTGGCGAGAAACAAATGAACCGCGATTCTCCTAATATAATGAAAAGATATCAATTTTTAAGCGTGGAAGTGTTTAGCACTGCTGTAATAGTTGGGGACACTGAAATATGCATGGGATATTTTCGTAAATAGAACAGTGACTTGTTAAAAATTAAAAATCCAGCTGGTGGGAGGCTATCCAACTGGCTATTTACAAGACATGGAGGAGCTGAAGTTTGCAACACCGAGCGCAAATCCATCTTGTGGGAATCCAGCGCCCTTACTACCAGGCCGCGTCACCTCCTAATCACTCAGTTGACAATTATCTAGGAGCATATGACACATTTTCTTCAATGCTTATGTGAACAATTTACTCAAACCGGGCAATTAAGATAAAAAACTAAAATTGCTTTTTATATATCTTATTTTATTGAACGTTTCCGCAAGCCTGATAAAGCTTACTCAGGCGATGTTTTGTGCTGTTAGAAAGCTGTGGGTAAATAGAAGTGAGGGCAAGCCTAGAGTGACATATCAGGAGAAAGACAGATCTTAGGAGGAAAGCAAATATATCTCTCCGCCTAGTGACACACATAGGTCATTTTATGGTTGAAATCTGAAATCTGTTATCGTGGCGCCGAAGAGTGATTTTTGACTAAATATTTTATTTTAATTGAGCAACGATAATTTGAGAGAAAATATAACATTTACTTTTTCTATTCCGTAATGCAATACCCAAAGGCTTATTTAAGCTATCTTAAACGCATTTACAAAGCTGATAAAATATACGTAATTTGAACATAATGAAGTCGTAAGGAGTCTTTTAGTCATGATACCCTTGAAAATATGAGTCTTGTTGTCGATTTCAACAAAACGGTAACTGAGCAGTTTTGACACAACACAACAAATGACACCGTTTACTGCGGTAATCCTGAAGTGTATTCAGAGGTCTTGGTCATCTTAAATTAGAAAATCTCGCCGTAAAAGTTCCATTAACACAAGCTACTTTTACCAGAAAGTTACCAGCTGTTGGTGACATTCGGCACGTTATTTACAGATCTGGAGATATCCTATTGGTGTGAAACTCGCTCCTAAAATGGAAGTTTGAAAGATCAAGTTACTGATTTAAAATAAACTGGAGACTTGTGCATGAAGTCATAGGCTCTTTGTAGCTGTTAATGCTTTGTAGTGACAAACCGCTCTCAAACATCGATAAACGATGAAACATTTCTTTCGAGTTCTGCTGTTGAGTTTCTTCGTATCGACGCAAGTATACTCAATTCTGACCACGACCAAGCCAATGACGACACAACCTTCGCAGTGTAATGTCAATAACAACAATTACAACAGCTTCTTCGCTGGGCCAAACTGCAAGAAGATCGAAAGTATGTTTTCTGAGATGAAACAACATTTGACCGAACTGAAAAAGGGAATCAAAGAAATAAAGGATATTCTAAATGGCGATAAGCCAGGTGGAAAAGGTTTGTAACAGCATTTTTCAACCTCCATGAATTTCCAGTGTGTGTTGTTGTGTGGCACTGCTTTTCAGCTGTAGCTTATTCAATCCACGTTTTAACCATTCAAGTGAAGTTTGTATAAAAATGGCTTTGAAACCACCTGGTGGAGAAGTCAAATCTTTCGCTTCTAATGTATGTTTACATATGTCCAGCCCAACAAGATCTAGAAATTAGTGTATTATTTGATTTACAGT